AAAAATTCTATGTTGAGAACTGTAACTAAGCATTTCTGGACCATACCACAGACTTGGGGTAAGGTTTTCTATCATCTTCTAAGGACTTCTGGAAACCTAAAGAAATAGAAATTCTTTTTTAGCTATTAACATTTTGATTTCTAGTAGTGTTTTCATTATGGGTAGCAGTGGTATTATGACTTCAAATATTAGTAAATGTGTGAGATTTTTCTTCTTGTTCTTTTTTAAATAGCTGATTATTTTCATGGCATTAGCCAATGGAGTTTCCAGAATAAAAACAGGACCAGTTACACTCCATACGCAAACAGCTATACATTTTGCTGAACAACTAGCAAAAGTGAGTATTCCATCAGAAAGAGTAATTGATTTTTATTGTGGCGGATTTTGGGTTAACTTTTAATGAGCAGAAAAATTAATAGTAATCATGATTGCTATCACTTACTGAGTACTTGCTGTGTGACAGACACAGCTAATTCAACAATTTATCTGAATCACCTTACTCTATATAACCATTGTAGGTGGCTATTTATTATTATTACCATTTTACATATGAGTAAAGTGAGGCAGAGAGATTAATTTAATTGTTACAGGTCACACAGTTTTTTAGTGGCAGAGCTGGGCTTTGAGCAAACCTGGGAAAGCATACTTCAAAGCCCATGTTATAACCTGTGTGGTACTGCCTTAAGAGCAGCTTTGTGTGTTTTAACTGGGTGACCTGGGGCAAGTTTCTCCATCTTACTATACCTCAGTGCAGATAGTTGTTAGTTATCTGTAAATTCAGAGACTTTAAGTCTCCTTCAAATTCTAAATATTTGTACTTAGGTTTATATATAGGCTAAAAATGCCTTCCATAACTGCTACTTGTGCTTCGTATTTACATATGCTTGTAATTTGGAAAATATACATATACACATTTATAACTACATAAATAATGTGGTTATCTAGCTCACAATTCAATGTTTATTCATTCAGCAATAATTTCACATGTCTGCTGTGTGTCAGTACACTGCCACATAATACTGAACTGAAAGAATTTGTGAACACTACTGTTCAGTAAGGCTCCAGAGGGATGGTTTTCAAATTGTATTTCAAAGAATCTTAAGATTTTAGGCATACTTAAAATTCCCTTGCCACAAACTCAGGCAACCTACTCAGATTTGAGTTGGGGTTTTTTTTGAGACTAAGTCTTGCTATGTTACCCAGGCTGGTCTTAAACTCCTGGGCTCAAGTCATCCTCCTAGCTCAGCCTCCCAAGTAGCTGTGATAACAGGTGTGTGCAACTGTGCCTGACTAGTTGTTTTGATTTCAATTCAGTTTTGTTAAAATAAATCACATTTGCTTTAAAATAATTATGTTTCCAAAATACAGTGATAGAGATCAAATATTTCTAAGCCAAATTTAATCAGTGAAAAATACAGTGTTAAACCCAATAAAGATGAAGGAACATGTTAATCACCACTACCACCACCCTCCTCCCCACCTACCTTCTCTGAACTCGATCTTTTTGAATTATATATTTAGGGAATTAAATTAGCAAGAAAAGCTTAGGGAAATTAAAGGATAATTTGATACTTGACAGGATAAAAATACAAATGTTTTAGTTCCATGTTTCAGAAAAATTTTAGGAAGTAGGGTGTGGAGGTGCATTATAATGAGCAATTGAGATTTCAAAGTTAATATTTCCTAGACTACACTCCTGGGGGTTCTGGGTCAGTGGGCACAGAGGCATATATATTCTGACAAAACTCCGCAGGTATGTATACTTCTGAACAAGAACCATGGTTCCAAAACAAAATATTTTATGTCTAGGCTGTTGAATTTCTCAGGAATCATTTCATCTTTGTGTCTCTGTAGGTTTTTCAATAAAATAAGTTTGACATTAACTCCCTGTCTACTTAAGCTGGAGTTATAGGCCCTTTCCTCTATCCCTCTTCATAGTGCTTATATACTAAATACTCTTCTGATTTCAGGCAAAATTTATTGTGAAGAAATCAGAAGATGAAGAAGATGCCTCTAAAGACACTTATATTATTGAATGCCAAGGAATTGGGATGACAAATCCAAATCTATAGGGTATTTGCCTCTTAAATGATACCTCAAGTATGTATTGCACTAATTCATTTCATAAATACTGTAAAACGATGAATAGGAAGTAACCTATTAAAAGACCTGACTTAAATTTGGAGATGAAGTTCAATGTTGTAGATTTGCTGAGAATGCTTCATCAAATTAATCTCACTTTGAGTATCTCCTGAGATATGGACAATGAAATATGAGAGTTGGTGGATATGTATGATAGCTGACTTCAATAGTAAAGTATTGAAATAAAATATCTTTATATCTGAAGTAAATGTGTTTTTCTTTTTTATGTAACAAAGTCAGAGATACATATAATTTGATCTACAATTAGTGTATAATTCTAATCTCTTTGCTGAAATCTCATCTAAAGTATAATGAGACAATTTTATGCAAGTGTACTTGCTGTGTCAACAGTAACACTTAATAGATATTGTCTTATTCTAATTATATGTCCCTTCTATCTAGTGGGCACTTGGTAAATATTTATTAAATTTAAATCTGTTGAGTCTGTTTTGGAAGCCAAACATTTAGAGTTGCAAAATTTTAATCCTAATAATAGTTGACCAAATTCAGCTCCAGATATGTTTTTGTTTGGCTTGTAGTGGTAAATTAATTGAGTGCCTGTAGAACGGAATGTGCTTCCATCATTCTCTATTATCTTATACCCAGCCTGCTTCCACATTTAGATTACTTCCTGATCCCTGTAGGCAGTTGAGGTTGTGACTCAAATGAAACCAGTTTGGGATATCAGCTCAGTATGTCATACTATAATATAGTGAGGAATTCATTAAAAGCTGGGTCTGCCTTGGATCTTATCTGGTGATGATTAAAACATAGTCCAAGGTGTAGTCCAAGGTAAATAATACATTCATAAAGTCCTGAATTAGTCTGTATACAACGGTATAATGAAAAAAAGTTGCTCCATGTACATAATTATTGTCAGTGATTTCTGGGACCTTGGACAGTTGGATTAAATTTGCTTTAAAGATGGTGACAGTGTTGCTTGCTATTTATATTTTCACAAAGTGGAGGAGTTTTATAAGTTCATTTCTATAACAATTGAGTTATATCTCTCTTTTAGGGTAAAACTATACTTTCAGTGTAATTGTTGGAGGGGTTGTGATAAATTTGGGGATCTTTAGACTGAAATGATTTTTGCTGCTTCTGACGGGGTGTGCCAGGAGTGTTAAAGAGGTAGGCTGGAGTGCAGAGAATGGGAATCTAGGAGTGACAGATCGAAGTTCAACAGTGTACATGGTGAGTTTATGATTAATTTTAGTTTGGACCTGTTCACTATTACTGAGTATCAGTTTAGGTAAAACAAAGGGACTGATGCAAGGAAATTTTTGATAAGTCCCTACAAGTGACTTGAATTTTTATTTTCCCCAAACAAAATTCTACTATTTCTATTCTATATCTAAAATTCTATTTCAGTATGTTTGTTTTAGACTACCAAATAGAAGTAATTCTGTTGATTTGACACTCTGTGTGCAACAGTCTTTAAGACTCTTCTTTAAACCAATGGCCTTCAAACGGGTATGCACATCACTTGAATTGTACAAAGCCTTTCCGTGAGTTTCAGATTTGCAGGTGGTAGCTTTTAAAGAATTGGTTTCCAGATTTCTCTAATATGTACTTCCTCCTAAAGTTGAGTTGCCTGATATCAAGGTAGGGCTCTGCAGGTTCTCCTTTTTAGCTCCTCTTTACCAATTCTTCCTCTTTCCAAAAGAGTTTATTTTTCACCCATCCTAATCTTGCTATGGTGCATTTTCCCAGAGTATAAGAAAATCTCCAGGGCATCAAATAAAGGGACAGTTTGAAATATTAGTCTCTGAAAAGCCCACTCAAACTAAGATATGAACCTGCATCTTTTTTTTTATTTTTTTGAGACAGAGTCTCACTCTGTTGTCCTGGCTAGAGTGAGTGCCGTGGCGTCAGCCTAGCTCACAGCAACCTCAAACTCCTGGGCTCAAGTGATCCTACTGCCTCAGCCTCCCGAGTAGCTGGAACTACAGGCATGCGCCACCATGCCCGGCTAATTTTGATTAATTTCTTTCTATTTTTAGTAGAGACAGGGTCTCGCTCTTGCTCAGGCTGGTCTCGAACTCCTGAGCTCAAACAATCCACCCGCCTCGGTCTCCCAGAGAGCTAGGATTACAGGCATGAGCCACCGTGCCCGGCCCGAACCTGCATCTTACTTGTATGTTTTGTGTGATTTTAAATGAGGAGAAAGCGTCATTGTTTACTTTCAACGGATCAACATTAAATCTTTAAATAATACTCTTTCTGATTATTAGAAGAAACATGTTTATTATTACTATTTTTTGAGACGGAATCTCGCCCTGTCCCCCTGGCTAGAGTGCTGTGGCATCATCATAGCTCACAGCAACCTCAAATTCCTGGGCTCAAGGGATCCTCCTCTCTCAGCCTCCCAGGTGGCTGGGACTACAGGCATGTGCCACCACACCCACCAAATTTTTTCTATTTTTAGTAGCAATGGGATCTTGCTCTTGCTCAGGCTGGTCTTGAACTCCTGAGCTCAAGTGATCTTTCCACCTCAGCCTGCTAGAGTGCTGAGGCAGGAGAATTGCTTGAGCCTAGAAGTTTGAGGTTGCAGTGAGCTATGATGACACCACTGCACTCTAGCCCAGGTGACAGAGTGAGACCCTGTCTTAGAAAAAGGAAAAAAAAGAGCATCCATCTCATTGAGATACATTTCCAATAAAATTTTGTATTTTAATATTTCAAATTACACATTTGTTATGCTCAATTGTATAGTAATGTTAATTGTAATTAATCATCAGAAGAAATTTTAAATTTTTGAGTCTTACGTTCACTGAAAATTTTATTTTTTTATTTAGAGACAGGGTCTTGCTCTGTCACCTAGGCTGGAGTGCCGTGGCATGTTCATAGCTCACTGCAGCCTGGAAATTCTGGGCTTCAAGTGATCCTCCTGCCTCAGCTTCCTGAGTAGCTGGGACTATAGGCATGAGCCACCACACCTGGCTAGTTTTTTAATTTTTTGCAGAGACAGGGTTTCACTATGTTGCCCAGTCCGGTCTCAAACTCCTAGCCTGAGGTGATCCTGCAACCTTGGCCTCCCAAACTGTTGGGATTACAGGCATGAGCCACTGCCCAGCCTATGATGAAAAATTTCTGTGTCAACTTGAAAATGTATAAGGATGATAGTGTTTTTGAATTATTTTTATGAAGTTTGTGAGCATAATGTTTGATGACATTTAATGCATTTAATTATGACTAGAAAAGTTGTTAATTGAATATCCTGCTTTTCTGTGTTTAGCACAGTGCTGTTCAATAGAACCTCAATGATGGAAAGGTGGTATATCCTCACTGTCCAATAAGGAACCCATTAGCCGTATGTGGCTATTGAACCTTGAAAATGGCTCATGTAACTGACAAAATAAATTTGAGTTTTATTTTATTTTAATTAAATAGTCACATGTGGCTAGTGGCTACTACATTGGACAGTGCAGGTCTAGACATTATTGTGGATCTTTGTCTTGATATTATTATTATTTTTTTTTCTTAGTAGAGACAGGGTCTTGCTCTTGCTCAGGCTGGTCTCAAAACTCCTAACCTCAAAGCAATCCTCACGCCTCGGCCTCCCGGAGTGCTAGGATTACAGGCGTGAGCCACCATGCCCAGCCTTGATATTATTTTTAAATTTTATACCATCCTCTCTTATAATAGGTGCTGAGAAGGAGTATTTCAGGAAAATCATTTGGAGTAGATGTTTGGGATTTAGGCATTTCCGTAATGATGAGGCTTATTATGCCTGACTCCCCAGGAGAAAGCAGGATTGCAGTGAACATTTCCAATTGCTCTTTTTGCATACTTGTTCTTCAAAGGAGGGAGAGGAGTGGTTAATCCGATTGGTAAGAGCCTGACTTCCACTGGGGGACAGCTCCTTTCCCCGCCGCAACCGCTGCACTACCTGCAGCAAAAGAGCTAAGAAGGGCCTGGACTCCGTCCCGCCCTCCACCCATACTCCTTTGTGAACTATCGTACAATGAAATATTTTAGACCTGTGATCCTTTAGGCAGCTGGCAGGGCAAGTTTGCTTAGAGTCTGCCTTGAAAATCCTCCTTCCCCACTAGCAGGGGCTAAGCCTAAATTTAAGGGGAGATAATAGGTGACTCTACTTTGACCTCAGGTCCCAGCTCTCTTGCTCCCCAATCCAGCTTTACCAGAGAGCCTCTCTTTTGGAAGTTATTGGGCCTACAGATTAATTCCCTGTATCCGTTCTTTATTGATTAGAACCTAGAAGGGAGGAGGGGATTTTACTGCTCATATAAAATGTGTCTTTTTAGGGGAAATAATTGTGAAAACATTGTTTTGGTGATCATTAGAATAATCAGACTTGTTTGTGTTGTGGTGGTGGTGGTGGTAGTCGTGACAGTGATAATAATGGTTGGCAGTTTCTTTTGGTTAGTTCTTTTCTTCCCCCCAGAAAATTAGTGTGACGTTTGGTTTTTGTCTGGGTTTCAGTGTGCGTTGCTTCAGTAGCTCTGAAATAGAGTTGATTAACAGATGTGCATGTGTTTCTTCAGCGATTCCTTTGGGCACATGAGCATTTCCTAAGGAGAGTGGGGAGCGGGGAAACACTTAGGGGCTCCTTACTGCAAAGTTAAAAAGAAAAATCCAAGTGAAGCCAGATTAAAATGAACACTGAGAGCAGTAGTGAGGGGGAAAAGAGTAATGTGTGGTTGTTGTAGAAGTTAATGGGCTGGAGCTGGGCAGATAATCCCATCACCTAGTGGGAATTTTCAGGTAGCTGTTTTCTCTTCCCTTTTGGCAGTAGCGGCACCTCTTCCTTTCCCGGCCCTAGCGGATACCTTCTGTGGTCATAGTTAGACAGCAATGTGGTACCCTTCCTTTAATACAGTTGCTCCTTGACTTATAATGGGATTACTTTCTGATAAACCCCTTGTAAGTCGAAAACATTGTAAGTCAAAAATGCATTTAATAACTGAACCTACCAAACATCATAGCTTACCCTGACCTAACTTGAACATGTTCAGAACACTTACATTAGCATACATTTGGGCAAAATCATCTAACACAAAGTCTATTTTATAGTAAAGTGTTGAATAGCTTATGTAATGTAGCGAATACTTTATCAAAAGTGAAAAACAGAATGGTGGTATCAGTTGTTTACCCTCGTGATTGCATGGATGACTGGGAGCTGCAGCTCATTGCCGCTGCCCAGCATCATAAGAGTGTATTGTACTGCAATCAACAGCCCAGGAAA